ATAAATCATTAATTCAAGACAATTAATCATAATCTAATCAATTCACTTAATCATACTTTTTTTAAATTTCTTTTCAATTCATCATGTCAACTAATTTAGGCATTTCTCAAATTCATCATCTTAACCAAGTTAGGTATTTCTCAAATTCATAGTCTAATAATCAATTTTGAATCATCATTATCTTTTTTCATGCATCCATTAGCATAAATAAGTGTTTAATCATCAAATCCCAAAATTCAATTCAAATTCTAATCCTAACCTATTTCAATTTTTAATCAAACAATAAACCTAATATAAATTAACTCTAAAATCATCAATAAACACATATAAACAATCCAATTTTAAGCTTAATTGAAAAAATTATTAACTTTCTTTGCGGTACAAATTTCACGCTCAAGAACACTAAATCTTTAAGCTCCAATCTTGTTTAATTCCAACTCAAAACATAAGAAACTAAAATAATTTAATTTTTTTTTATTGGTGAATTGGGTTAGAAATGGGCGAGGAATGGTGGAGATGAAGCAAAAGGTTTATGGTTTGAGAGAGGAAGGAGAACATAATAAAAAAAAATGGGGGTAAATGGGGAGAAACAAAGTTCTCGTTTTTTAACGAAACTAGGTTGCTATTTTTTTTTCATTTTCAAACTCATTTTTACACTTCCATTCAATCCTCATAATGTCCAATACTATGATCGATTTCACTTAATAAACTCTAAAATACTTTCATTATCTCTTTTTTTAAACCTCTAAAGCACATGTATCTAAAACACCACAATTAAAGAAACAATAATCTATTTTAACAAAATTATTATCAAACACATACACAAAGCATACACATGAATAATATGAAAAAGAAAATTACGGGTGTTACACAGTGTGTGTGTGCATGTAGAGTGATTTGATTGGTAGGCCATATGTCATTTTTTAGGTCATCAAATGATGTCACGTGCATTTAATGTCGGACAAATGAGTAGAAAGGCCTATTATTTACTAAAAAAACAGTTCATGATAGTCAAATCAAAATTTTTAAAGTTATGAATATGCATGAGTTTGACCAAAAGTTGATGATGTTTTTATGTAATTTAGCCTTGAACTTCTTCAACATCTTGAAGTCATAATGAAATAAATATCTCTTCGTTTAGAAAAGAAAAAAAAGTATGAAATTTAGTGGTACTTTAATAGTAGATGAGAGATGTTATAAACTTATAGTTTAAATATAATTTAAATAAAATTAGAAGTTTCTTATCGAAGGTACTAATACTTCAAATCGTTTAGAAGTTGAGAGTCCAAATAATTTATAAGTTTCAAGTATAACTTCTCTTTTCAAGAGACGTCTTTTAGAAACAAAACCTATCATGAAACCATGACATCCAATGTGAGACAATATCTCTTAAAGGACAAAGCTCGTATTGTAAATAAAACTAAAAGGATTTGAGAAAATACTATATAGATCACTATTTTTTTTATTGTTCACTTACACCCATTCGATCGTTCACCAAGACTTAATTGCACCGTGCATTTTATTGTTTACAATCAAGTTTCCTAAAATTTTTGTACTTTGTTATTTCATTTTTTAGAATATTTTTCACTCACATTCATTCGCACTATTCACCCATATTTAATTATATTATGCATTTTACCGTTTACAATCAAGGTTCCTAAAATTTTTGTACTTTGTTATCTCATTTTTTAGAAGCTTTTGTTTCAATCTCAAACTTCATTTGTGTTGATTTTTGGTCCCTAGTTGTTTAGAGGAGAGAGAAATAGAGAGAGAGAGAGAGAGAGAGAGAGAGAGAGAGAGAGAGAGAGAGAGAGAGAGAGAGAGAGAGAGAGAGAGAGAGAGAGGGGGAAACAATGCCTATTTCGAATCACTGGACCATCGAACTCACTACCATTTTATTCATCTTGGGAGTAGAATCTATTTATAATGGTCATAAGCTATGAATTGATTAGAGGCGGTAGATCAAAAATAAAAAAATATTTTAGGTTTTTTAATTTTCATTTGAATTTTTGTATGTTTGTGTGTATTAAAATGAGTTTGCTCTAAACAAGTTTATTGATGTCATTTATATCATTTTGAGGTGTTTTTGGATAAAAAAATGAGATTGGATTTGGGTTTGGAGAGGCTTGAAATTAAGAACCTTTTTTCCCGACGATGTTTCTAACGAACCACGGTTCATTAGAAACTACGATGTCCAATTTCTTTTTTTTTTTTTTTTTGGTAGGTTTGACTTGTTCAAGCCTAGAACCAAGCCAAAGCACATAGGCTTGCTCTTTGGCCATTTTTTGAGGGAAAATTATGAAAGATTGAGCATATTTTTACGTGTTTCTCATGTAGTTTGACAATGATGAGTATATATGATATATTTTTAGATAATTTATTTGATGGTAGCATGCCGAATGCTTCAAAAGAATCAAATTATTTCCTTACTAGACCTAATTACTAAACTATAGCTAGGGTAAGTTAGGGTCGATCCCATAGAGAATTGATTCAGAAAAATATTTGATTATCCGATGGTAGCATGCCGAATGCTTCAAAAGGGTTTTGACGTTCAATTCTTTGATGAACAAATAAAGACAAGCAAGTATAATAGATTAAAAATAATGGAATTAATAATCTATTTTTGGTTTAATCTCCACTTTCACACTCAATGAATGTAATCATGATAAGCTATTCAACTTTTCTTATGACATTATTGATCCTAGATAACACTAAGCTATGTTATCTAAATTTCTCTTGAGTACCACCAATGAAACAAGTTCTTCAATTAGATTCTAACCATAACATAACTTAGAATAAGCTCACTAAATTTGATGCACAATAGCTTTAAGAACTAGAAAATTAGATCAATCTAGGCAATAATCTCACAAGCTCGAATTATTTAACCTAGGTTATGTTATTTATAGTGATGAAGATAAAAACTTGTCCATAATCATCTACCATATTCACTACTAAGTGATTAGAAATAAGACAATTGTACATATCATAATTTCTAGATCTAGCAATAGAAATCTATAAAAATTAATCTAGTTGGCCAAACCAAATTAATAAAATAGAAATCATAAATCAAATAAAGCCGAATAACATAATCAATTCCAAGTAATGAGAGAAGAAGAAAAACGTTACTAGATTACACCATTGATATGCCCATGAGAGCTTTGAAATCCCCTTGAAACGATACAAATAATTTAGCCACACATGCTAGTCAAAGCAAACAAAACCATGGTATAGTTTGTTCTTCGAAAAAAAATCTAACTCTAATTGCTCCTCGCCTCATCAAACCTAAACACACACACACACACACAAGGTTACATAATGTGCTAGAGTAGGAGATAACAAACATGACCTTGTGTGTTGTGACACACAAGAAGCAACTTCAAGTTTGCGAGGTCTCAACCTAGACACACGATCGTATGTCCTTTGTTGCATAGCTTGTGTTCTCCTTTGACAACATGACATGAGCAAAAACTTCTTCATATAGCTATGCATGTTCTTTTGAGAAATGAGCTTGAATGGACTTGGTACCCATTATGAACTCCGGTCGGGCTTATTAGCTTTTGTTGTTATTTTTCTACAAAACCAATAAACATCATATTATCCTTAATCAGCTTAATAAGATAGATAATGTATTAATAAATTTAATGTAAAAGGAAATAAAAATTGTATAAATTATGCATTGATCATCTAAGATATTTTTTAGTGTTTGTCGTTTTATGTTGTACACTCGTTAATCCACTAAATATAGTTATGATGTATAAATTTTTTTATTAAATAATCAATTTTATTGAAAATTCTCTATGCATTTATACACATAATACTAGCATCAAGCATTTGCTATTATCCTTTTAATATTATAAGATAAATTTCTTTGAAATAAAATGTATATATATATATATATATATATATATATATATATATATATATTAAGAATCATTAAATCATTCAAATATAGCCTTTTATGCTAACAATATTGATTATTTTGTGTGTGTGTGTGTGTGTGTGTGTATATATATATATATATAATGAATGTAGTTTCAAAAAATAATATTCTCATCATCATTGGATAATAATAAAATTTTATTTTTTTATTTGTTAATTTTTATACAACTCTATAGATTAATTGTAGCTTTATTTTTTATATATAAAATCTTATAAAAAATATATTAAATTTTTTTTTTGGAATTCTGAATTAATATTGTAGCTTAAATTATTATAATTTTTTTTTATTTAAAAATCAATACATAAAAAATGAATCATGTTTTTTTAAATAGAAAATTTGTGAAAAACAATAAGAAAAAATTCATTGAATAGAAAATTTTATTTAAAAAACTTAAAAAATTTAAAATAATTTGATTCTCATTCGGACTCGTAGTGTAGCACAAACAACCCACTAATCATTATTAATAAATAATAAACCACAACTAAATTCTATATGAAGAGCCATCGTTGGAATTTTTATTTTTACGAGAAAGGGATGCTTTTAGTTTCCCAAAAAAAAAAAAAAAGGGAAAAGAAAAAAGAAAAAGAAAATCACTTATTTGTAATTGAATGGACTGAAATTTATATTAAATGGTATAAAGAGCTTTGCAGCAAAATGACTAATATACCATTTTGTTATTGAATACATTTAACCACAAAATAATATACTCCTGCCACGTCGGTAAGCAAATATTGAAGTTTTAGTCCCTTTACAAAACGTCTCAATTTTGGACGTCGTAGAAGACTTGATTGATCTCCTAGTCAAAATTTGCCGAAGGACTGCTTGATCTGTTATTGAGACGTCTTATGTGTTCCGTCTTGTAGAAAGCGAAAGACGTATTTTGACCCTCGCACTCCTTTTCCTTAGGGTACCAAGCTTCGGAGAATGGGCCATCACAACAAATCCTTAAAAGTCAGCTTGCGACTCTGCTTTTCTCTCTTCTATATATATAAAATCCTCTCTGGTCTCTGACAACAATCTCACAACCACATTAAGCTCTATACAGAGAAAACATAGGATAATGGCTGACAACAATAGCTCAAGTCTTGCTTTTGAAAAAGAAAGGTTAGCTTAAATCTCTTTGCTTTACTTTTTTTCCCTAGACCATTTAGTTTAATTTCATTTTCTGTTTATTTATCTTCACTGACTATAATTATTCTTCTATTGCTTTGCTTTTCTGTTTATTTATCGCCTTTAAAGTTCATTCTTCTCACCTAGTGTGATTCATCGAATCATCTTGTCTTTGTTTCATTTGCTCAGACTGTAAGAAACGAAGTAAATAATTCCCCTTTAAAAATTGCATTTTGAGTTCATGACATTACTTGCCACTTCGTCAAGCTCAATTTCTACCTAATAAACAAGGTTTTAGGATTTGTGGATCGTTGCTCTAAGACCAAAACAAAGGACCAATTATTAACTAGACTAAGCTTCTAAAAGTGAATTATGTTGAATATTTACTAGTAAAAAACCAAACTTTTACTAACCTCAGCAACATAGAAAAATATAATGTTGAATGTTACCATGTCTAAAACAACTTTATTTCTCTGTGATGACAGCATCATTATTGTGCAACATGGAATCTTTGGCCTCATCATTGAGACATTGAACAACCAGATCCAAGTGAAGTACCAATCAGTCCAAGTGTCTCCCTTTGACACACACCGTGTCATCATGTTCATTTTCCTCCTGGCTCTATTTGTATATGCCACAGCATCGGTGGTCGAGGTTATGCTCCGAGCTTGTGAATCAATTTACGATAGATTTGTTGGCAATATCCGCCTCTTTGCCAGTGGCTCTGCTGCAATTTTGCTTCTAGCAATTCTTGCTCCAATTTTGGGGGTGCATCATTTCTGTGCTGTGGATCTGTTTTTTTTCTGAAAATAGCATACGAATCATCCCAAAGAGTTGCACAACGTTTTATGCCCAACAATTGATAAGATTCTCTACAAGTTGACCGGTCTAATTGGAAGTGTGAGATGCCTCATAGAAGAACCTAATCAGCCATGACTATAGGTCCTATTACAGTCTTGGGATATGAACGTATAAATGTTGTTGTAAGTAGTAGCACATGCCTTTGTATTTTGAAGATAATATATGTTTTTTTTATTGGATTAATGGGTAAGTGAACATGGGTTTTACAATAGGGATTTGATTGGTTTTAAGGAATTTTCTTGTCCACGTTTTATGGAAATAGAAATAGCATAAATTTTATGTGGCTCTTTTTAATTGGACTTTTTTGCCATAGCATGACATGCTTCCCAAAAGTTTTGATGGCCTAAAAATTATGGGCCCAAATACAAAGTTTATGTTAGTTAAACCAGGGAATTAGAATATTTCTCAGTCATCGCCATCGTGATCTGTAGCTCCCTTCTTGATGTTCTACGAAATTATCAAAAAGTTCTTTCAACCCCTCAAAAAAAAAAAAAAAAAAGCATATTCGGTTAGATGTATTTGAAATATGAAAAAAATAAATTAGTATAAATATCTCAAATTGAAAAAGAACCAGCAAACTAAGATGCTTATATATAAAATGAATGAGTCAATTATAAATTAGTCCCTCTAGTTTTTTTTTTCTAAAAAAACACATTAATTAGTCTTTTTCATTTTAAAAACTATTATTTAATCCTTTAATTAGTTTTGAATATGATTAGCTTAATATTATTTTTATTCTACAAGATCTCTTATTTTCTCATCAATTTTTCTATATTTTCTATATTTTATATTTTTTCTATTTATTAAAACAAAAAATCCACATAAATTATCAAAACTATCACATAATAAATAGTGACTTGTGAGCAAATAAATAATAATTACTGTTCAATTGCTCCATCCCTTTTGGTTATTGTTATTGATTAGTAATCATTGAATTCCTCCTCCATTATAATTTTTTTTTTTAAAAAAAATGTTCCAATTTGAGACTTCTTAGGATAGGAAGGATACTAATATGAGTTGAGCTATAACTCTTTATTTCGTTGTAACATTCTTTTACTAATAAATAAATAAATAAATAAATAAATAAAATTAAATCCACTCTGATGGTAAATGTTAAAATTAAAATAGGTCATTTAAAAAAAATATATAATAAGAAAATGAGAATACTATGAATAAAATAATGTGGTTTGCTCTCGAGAAAAAAAAAATCATATTTATGACTTTGTAAAACTTATAATGATCTTGCTTTAAAATCTAAAAAATCATTTGAATAGAAGCAAAATCTCAATGCATAAAATTTGTTATAAATCTACTCGTTAGGCTAGTGATACTATTAATTAAATATAACTAGGTTCTGGTTGGAAGGATTTTTTTAATCTAGAATGATTTGCATCTATAGTTATCTTATATTTGATGTATTGGAGGAAAACAAAATTTGATCTATAACTCCTATTTTTAAAGATACAGAAAACCTCTTAGATTACCTAGTTATAAATTAGCAATCATCAAATTTCTCCATTTTAATGTTTTCTTTAAGTTTCGTATTCCAAACCCTTTAGGAAGGAAAGGATACTCATACGAGTTCAACTGCAACTCCTTATTGCGTTGGAATGCTCTTTCACTTAGAAAAAAAATAAAATAAAACCCACCATGATGGCAAATATCAAAATTAAAATAGCTCATTAGAAAAATAAAGAAATAAAATGTAATAAGAAAATGAGAATACTTTGAATAAAATAGTGTGGTCTACTTGTGAAAAAAAAAAGCATCATATTTATGACTTTGTAAAACTTATAATGACCTTGTTTTGAAATCTAAAAAAGTCATTTGAATATAAGAAAAATATCAACGCATAAAATTTGTTATAAATATACGATTTAGGTTTGAAGTTATAGGACTTATGATGGGACTCCCAAAAAAATATTTTGTTTATTTATTATTGAATTATTTATGATTTATTCTGAAAATATGAGTTATTATTGATTTTGGGAGTCGCCACCTAGTATTGTAGGAACTAGGAACCTAAAAATAAAATTGGTTCAGAGATTTTAAAATAAGGAGTTGGTTACACTTTTGAAAAGATATCGATCACCCGAAATCGCCCTTTACTAAGAAAGGTACCACGTCTAGTTTAATCCTAAAATTTATCTCCTAAGGTGTTTTATTTGTGCCCAATTATTTCTATTCAAACTCTATTTTTTTTATTTCCTAGGCCAATTTAATTTTTTCTTTTTTATTTGTGACATCATATTGAATTAATCGTCGGACCCTTTCGTTGGAAGACATGTCGATTCACAACGGATCTACTTTAATTCTTGACATAACCGGTATGTCGGAGAATAACCTAATTATTAAAGTGATTTTTGAGCTAACAACAGATCCTTATTAGATAAAAGACTTTGTTAAATTTTTTCTTAACATTTTCTATTTTATTATTATTTTTTCTATTGCTTTGATGTTGTTTGTTTGTTTTTTTAATTTTAATTATTGATTATTGGTGAGGAATCGTCATGAGTCTATAAAAATTAGGAGACTTGATAATTCGTTTACCAGTTAATCATCTATTATAATTCTTAACATAAAACCTAACTAATTTAACATTTTTATTAAATGAATAAACAAATAAATCAACAATTCAAAGAGATTAAATTTAAACTAGGCATGAAAATAAAAGCATATATTAAAAATAAATTTAGGCATGAGTCAATTAGACAAAAGGCTAAAAATAGGGTGATTAGGCCTTTTGGGCCCACTAGGCTTTCGACTTAAGCATCTCCCTCTCTTTCTTTTTCTTCTTGGATGAGCTAACCCTAGTTTATCTTATTATTATTATTATTATTTTTAGGTCGGGCTAGACCCAACTCATTTTCTTTTCTTTCTCTTTTTCGGGTCAAACCCGAACCTAATCCTATCCTCCTTTCTCTCTCTCTCTCTCTCTCTCTTTCTTTCTTCTCTTCTTTCCTTTCTCTTCTTTCTTGGTTCCTCGGCTTTTGACGACCTATCCAATTCATTATTGCTTTAAAGGTTTAATTTATTGATTGCAAATTCCATACTCTAACGAATCAATAATGATTTCTAAACTTATTTATTCCCTTCTTAGTTCATTCTTCTAGGTTAGTTGGATAGATTTGAATCATTGGATTCAATCGATGATAGTGATAATGTCACTACCATTTGCCCTTTACTCGAACAAACATGAGTTGAAACTCGATTAAATATTGATGAAGGATGTTCAAGATTACTCGAAGGAAGCTTGGATGATTAGAATGGGATGGAAAGACAAAATATGACTCGTTTTATATATATTTTTTTGCTTGTATATGGTGGAAGATGATCAATGGAATGATTTAGTGATCGTTGTATAGTCTATAGTAGGTTGTTGTTATGGTCGAGGACTCTTAATCGACTCGACTAGAACAATTTCTAGTTTTTCTCAAAACCCACAATACTTGAGTGAACCTAGAACCTCGAATACTTGTGAACGATGAGGATGATCGAGGGGTTAATTTGAGGACAATCGAATGGTCTTGGGTTTGTTTTTGAGAAGATCAAGGACTCACGGATGATTGTAAAGTGATTTTAAGTGTTTTTCAAAGCTTAAAAAGTTTGAATGAACCCAAAAATTCAAAACAAAAGCCTAGAAGTTCAAGAGTCGCCTAAAAATTCAAGCTAGAAACCCAAAAATTCAAGAGATGTCCAAAAACCCTAAAAATATAAATCGTTTGATTTCTTTTCCTTTCACTCTCTACTCTTGATTTCCTTTTTTCCCACTCCAATCCGTATTCTCCTCTAACCTCTAAGTACTCTATTTATAACCAATCCTCTCCACCCATTATGTTTTTTTCTCCAAAATTGTTTCCTTAAAAAATCCTCTCCCCTTTTATTATTCCCTCTAATGTTTTTAATTCTCTACAAATTTTATAGTGTCAATTGCGGACTAAGGGCTCGCATTGTTGAGTCGGCTTAATGAATTAAATTCCATTAAGAAACTAGTATCAATCAAACCATTTATGGTTTTTGATTTGTAGGAAGCGGTTGTAGGAAATATTGAATATTCATTCATTATTTCGATTGTAAATGGGCAAAACAGATCCTCTCATTTCCTAATTTTTTTCATTGTATCCTTCATTTCCTTTCAATTATGCCCTTAATTTTTTTTAATTTTTTTTATTCAATTTTGCACTATTAGCTTCCAATTTTAAATTGATTTAATGCAATTATGCCCCTTGATCATTTTTTGCAATTTATGTATTTTTATTTTTTATTTTATTTTCCTTTTTTCTTATTTTTAAATAATAATGAGTACTAAAATAAAACGCATAAATTGATAAAATAGAATAGCTAAAAATAAATAAATAGTGAAATGAAATAAAAAATAAAATAAAGAACAAACTAAAGTAATAACTAAAAAATAAATAAAAATAAAAATAAGGTAGATAAAATTATAGGAAAAAGTATAACTCAAAATTTGGGTTATGACAACTACCCCCTATTTACAATACTTATGGTGTGAATCCTATATGAAATGCAAACTTCGATGTGAGTTTGCTTAATGAGTTTGAAAAGACCAAAATAAAAGTGAAATTATTGACAAAAATGTTTTGTCCGATGTGGATGGTTTGGCTTGTGAAATCAAAATATAATGTGTGACCTTGTTGTCGAGGGCTACCTGCAGATAAAGATTAAAATGAAATGTAATGGCCTTGTTGTCAAGGGTGACCTATCTTTAAAAATAAAATATAATGCGATGATTTTATTGTCAAAGGTGACCTACTCGAAAAATAAAATATAATGTGATAGCCTTATTGTCAAGGATAGCTTATCCTAAAAAATAAAATGCAATGTGATGGCTTTGTTGTGAAAGGCAACCTACTTTGAAAAATAAAAAACAATGACCGTTAGGCAATCCTACCTTAAATGATGACTCGGGTTAGGCAATCTTATCCGAAAGTGAGAATTGATTATTGAAATTGGCATTTGGGCGATAGTCTATCGTGAGACGATCTTGCCTAAAGTGAATTTGTGAAATGTGTTTCTTCACCATGTCCTTAGAATTTCTTTATTTAGGACTTGTT